ATGGTGCTGAGTTACACGTCAGGTATCAAAGTCAACTGTATTGTCAATCTTCCAGTTTGTGTGTTCAGAGAGAGAGATCGAAATACCGTTTCCCCCAATCCAGAATACACTAACAAAGATATATAAAGATATGTATATATATATATATACAGTACACACAATCAACAGACACATTTGTTCACATGCACACATTTAAGACATAAATAAAAGCACTACAATCAATATATGAAAAAATAACAGTCACTTCAATAACTTTGAGAAATGTTGTGAACTATGTTGAAAATATCTTGAAAAGGTACATCCGAAAATAAGACAAGTCATATGTCGAGCAAACAATGCACTTCACAATGGATATTGTTTCTTATTAACAACATCTTTCAACAGACTTTGACTGTCTTTCTTTATGAATACATGCAAATAAACATCAATAAATCAAGACGTTTGTTTGTGTTTGTGTTACAGGTTCGCTCTCCAGCACTGATGTCAGCTTCATCCCCAACGGCAAAGTCCAGAGGTCCGTCTGCTCTCCGCTGATGATCCTTACCATGTTCAATACGACATGTGAGTGTTTAAGAAGAATCTGAAACCTGACACTAAGTGAATGTTTCCTGGTGTTTGCAGGGAGCCCACCGGTCTGTCTGTGTTCTCTGACGACGAGACAGATTTAATCCGAGAGCTGCAGACCATGTGCTCCAGCAAGTCAGAGCCAGACATCAGCAAGGTACACACACACACACACACACACACACACACACACACACACACACACACACACACACACACACACACACACACACACACACACACACACACACACACACACACACACTACACACACACACACACACACACACACACACACACACACACACACACACACACACACACATATATCCATGTGCATCCTGTTCCAATTGACGTAGCTGTCTTGTGTGATTATTTGACAGTAGCAAACAGCAATAAACATAATAAAGGTACATACATCTTATGATAGAAGTACTCTCATACCACAAGATAATAGTTTGAATAACATGCAACCGTTTTAAGATAGTGATCATTTGACATGAACAGTAGTGTAACCAGGTTAGGTTAAGCTTAGTTAAACATGGTTGTAAAGACATTAAGCTCCTGAAGACCCACATGTTTCCTTGAGGAGTTAGAGAACTAAAGGAGGGTTATTATTATTACCCAAATCAATCATGGTATTGATGTGTAAATAACAAACTGCTTGACAACATGGCAGAAACTGTGTTGTGTTTATGAGTTGTTTCTGCTGCCCCCTAGTGGCCGATGAACAGAAGTACAACAGCGTATTAAAGCAGTTTAGATACAATGCACTACCACTGTGTGTCTCTGTCATCCAGCACAATGCAGAGAAACCTCCTCAGAACCTCTCAGCTTTAATGACGTTTCCAAACACTTGAGCTCACATGTTTTGGCTTCTTTAATTCACCGCTGTCATCCTGCTAAAGATAGAGTGACTGCACCACCGTGATGACATTCACCTATAGCTCCTGTGCGGTTTGAAATGCAGGCTAACACTGATTTGAAATATTACAAAATTATAAAAAACGAACTTGTTCAGTGGAGTTAGCGGCTAAAATAAGGAGCCCCTCCCCACGCCCCTCTGAGAGAGATTTGGTTTCAAAGAACTCAATGGTGCTCTAGGAGGAGATTCAGGTGATAAGGGGGGGGGG